GTATATACGGGGTCGGCTTTGTCTACCACACCAGACGAGACTGGGTTCCTCTATGTATGTCCAACTGGTATTTACCCAATCCTCCCCACAAAGGGCGCGAGGATGTACCACAAGGTTGGTTTTTATGTGGGGCGTTTCCGAACCCGTAGTCTCGGGTCAACATTCCCCTTAGCTCCCGCATACACGGGGTGGGGTTTGTCTACCTCTCCAGACGAGATTCTGCCCATAGGTATAGCGTCGTCTCGGTTCCTCTCTGACAGTCCATCTACTACCGATCTCATACCATGGAACTCGTTATAGTATTCGTCGAGTTCATAGAGTCACCGGGTGTGTACTTTTTAATCCACAACAGATATACGTCTTTTTACATTTGTATTGCTCACTCAGATAACTTTCTGATCAATAAATATGGTATTTCTTTTTCCAGGGTCGCTGAAAATTTGTCCCATTTCCTCCACCGCTTGCAAATATCGTGATAGGGATTAGAAACTGTCAAGTTCTTTTCCCCCAGTTTGTTGTTGATCTGCTGTTCTGTTATAGTGGAACACACCTATTCTATAGTTAATAGACTCTCCCACCTATAATAAGTAGGAGTAGGAAGAGTAACGGGGAGTCGCTCAGTGAGTCGGTCTGAGTTCAGTCTGAAGTCGGACGACCGGTTGAACTCTCTTCCTTCGGGTGGGTAGGGACCCGAAGGAGACTACGCCGAAGGGCGGAGTCTCTTCGGGAGGTACTCGACCCTGAACCCGTTTATACGGGTTTTTAAAGGGCATATTTTTGGCCGAGCCCACGGGCTCGGAGATCCCACGTTAAACCGGCCTTGTGCCACATGATGCCCCCGTGTGTGTGAGGGGGGGGGTGACTGAATATCGCTCAGTGAGTCGGTCTGAGTTCAGTCTGAAGTCGGACGACCGGCTGACCGGTTGAACTCTCTGCCTTCAGGCGGGGAGGAACCCGAAGGAGGCTACGTCGAAGGTCGGATTCTCTTTCGGGGAGGTAAACCGACCCTGAACCCGTTTATACGGGTTCAATGGGCATATTTTTGGCCGAGCCCACGGGCTCGGAGATCTCACGGGCTCGGAGATCCCACGTTAAACCGGCCTTGTGCCACATGATTCCCGCGTGGGAGGGTGACTAAATACCGTCGCTCAGTGGGTCAGTCAGTCGATGTGGGACGACCGTTAGTCGGATACTAAAGTATCAGCGACCGCAACTTGATTACTCTGCGTCATTACCTATTATATCAAGTTCCTAACGTTTTGTACGTCGAACCTATTTTAGGACAGACTTAGTACAAATACAAGCCTCCACTGTTAAACCACTCCACAACAAACATGGCGACGAAGTATTCGGATTCATACGGTGGAAGAAGAAATAAAATAATTCACACTCCATAACATGTTCATAGATGAGTATTGCAATTCCTGTGCAAAACCGTCAACATTTTTGTTCCTATATTTGTTGCTGTACATTGTGCTCGCCATTAATTGTTTTCGAGATTGACATAGTTATTGCGAAGAGTGCTGTCCGTGATAGTTGATTTGCTACACTTTAGGACTTAATGGAAAAAATAGGATTTTCTTCGGGCGGGGTTGTCTTCTGCGGTTAAATGTCAGCCCATTTCAGGAAATAAACATGGAAAGAATGTGATCGTACCATTCTTCAGAAACGCCAACATACAGCTTGACTATCCTGGGTTCGGCTCGAAATTCAAACAAATATAACCTGAAGAATGCCGGAGCGTACAACGGCCGAAACGTTGTGAATGTGACAATAAACTCTGAACAATGTAAATGGTGTAATCAGTTGCAATACCTAATTTCAGAAATATAGACAGATGTTCAATATAACTTGTAGATCCCAGTTCAAGGCCAGACTGATGGTAGGGTAAGTTTTCAATCCAATAGACTTTAAACGCACTCCGACCCCCCACCCCCACAAAAATTGACATCATAGCCAATTCTCGATCAAATGATTTCAAATTTTAACAAAACGTTAAAAAAATTAGTTGATTGTGCGGGCTTATCTCAATGAGAAACTACCAGGAACCACTTCGTTTCCTTCCTCTTGTCACTTGTTTTTTTCAGATTCTATTGTCATGGGTAAATAGTTAGGCAGTTGATAGTCTAACTTCAGCTTGTGTATATGTATGTGTGTGTTTAAAACAGCGCACAGATACAACACCGATCTTAAACAGAATGAACGAGTGAATGTGTTTAAAAAGCAAAATAGATCCTTGCTTGTTTGTGTAGCTCTACGTAGCCGAGTGGTCAAAGCCATCTGGCTCAGGCGGTTGTCTCTCCTGCAAAGGGTTATACACCGAGGCATTTGAAGTGTATCGTAATTATTAATTCTATGCCCTGAATTTTTATGCTGGATTCAGGATAAGCGAGATCACAACATTTCATTCCAGTTCCAGATCATAGTTTCTGTTTTAGAAAAGTTTATCTTGAGTCCTATTTCTTTATTATACAGAGTGTTCCCAAAAAAAAAAAAAAAAAAAAAAAATTGATCATTTTGTAGTCTAATAACATATCCCCCTCTTCCTACAAGCCAAGTTTAGAATCACTGAGGCGCTGGAGAATGTTACGCAAGACATGCTACAACGTGTTTGGCAGACGTGGCGTGTCACAGGTGGTGTGCATATTGATCATTTGTTAAGCTTTGTGAAATCGGTTATAAAAATCTACATCACTTTGAATATCTTGTTCGATTTTTGATAGATAAATCTTTTATCACTCAACGTGAAATCTATTTAATTTTGTTTACCTGGGACATGAAGTTACTCAGTTATTCACATTTTAGATTATGTCAGTTTTGGACGGACACTTGTATTCGCCCGATGCTACTTATAACAGGCCTAGAAATCCTGCAACTGGGGTTCACGACTAGGAGCGGACATGTAGAGACTTAAATTACTATTAAATAACAATAGATGAGAATATGATATTCGCAAGGAACTTGTTAGTAATGTCCAATGATAAGTTAATTAGGAAGTGTATCTATTATTAAGATGCATCTTACAACGATAACAATTATTGAGTTATCTTCGTAAATGCAAAAGGAATCATAAAAATTACTTTATTCACTATTTTATTCATTTTTCATTCACCTTGATTGCGCCTCTTTTCAACCGATGTGATTTCCATAAGGCAGCTTAACAGAAGATTATCAACAGCAATGCACATCAGCGACAACAGATAAATAACAAATTACAGAAAATGATAGATAGATATACTGTGACAAAGTTATAACTGAGTTTTGATCTGAAAATTTCACTAAATTTTATGATTAACAAAGTGCAATGACAAAGAATACATATATATATATATATATATATATATATATATATATATATATATATATATATATACTCCAAACGCGTTATTAGTGGATGCACTTGTTTGAGTAGACACCTTGTTTTGTTTTTTTGTGGTTGTTTTTTTTTAACAGTGTGAATTAGATCTACCCGCCTGCACATTCGAGAAACTAAATAAAGTTAACGTGCTCCCCGGCAGAGTTTGAGTCTGCGACTTCTTAGTCCTAAACAGGAAACAAAGGATAAAAAAAGAAAAAGATCAGGGAGGAGTATGAAGCGGACGATAAGTAAATCTATCTTTGGGAGGGGAGTAGAAAGAAAGTAGTAGCCTTTTTTTTTATATATATATATATATATATATATATATATATATATAAATTAAATTAAATTTTTCCAATAAGCAAAACTACTTTGCTGCATTTCAAAACGAATACAAATCGATTGGAAGAGATTTTTAATCGCTAAAAATATCTGGTTTAACAATAGTTACAAATCTGTCATTGCAGCATAATTCTCTTTATTAAAAATCTTTCAAAAATAAAATATACTTTTCTGAAACTTTATTTGAGGAATCTTAGCTGATTTAAAGTTTAATTAATCTGATTTGAAACAAATATTACTTTTCGTTTAAAATATCACAGAAAAGCATTTTCTAACAAGGAAGCAGGTATTTTTATGAGGTGTTGACAACTATCCGTATAGACTTATTATTGGCATTTTTTTTCTACTGGGGGTATATCTGTAAAAATTACTTGACGAATATAACGTGAGTGCCTTTTTATGTAATTTTTAACTACCTAGTAATCTTAAAATATAGTATAATATTTTAAGTAATTTAATATTTTATTCAATATTAGGTACTTTAGCATTAAATTTATTATAATTTCTTTAGCTTTTTTGTTTATGATTAGTAAATACAGTTTTTACTTAATAACAATATCGCCTCAGGGGTACAAATTAATATAAATTTTTAAAAGATTTAAAATTTTATGAGTTATTTTAATTAAAATTAAAAAAAGGAAAACAATTGTTATAAAAAATTATTATTCATCGAAAAATATTTTTCTCTTAAGTCAGTAGTGTAGATAATATATATTATTCATAAAAAACAATTAAAAGCTTTTCTAATTAAATTATGTCTTAGTTTTATTACAATTTTTATTTTACGATTCAGAGAAAATTTTCTGTAACTGGGCCTCCTGTTTTACAAGAAATAAAAAATGATTTAAATTCTTCAAGGATTTCTGCTTATAATTAATATAAACATTAAACTGTACAAAAATTAATTTTCGAAATTTCATAAAATTAAATAACTAACAGACTTAAAAATATATTTTTACCAAGATTTTCTAAAAGAACAACGTTTCTAAAATAATTTCATTCATTTGTGAATATGTCCTGAAGGTTTCATTAAAATCCGACAATTATTTGATTTTTGTAAGAATTTCCAAATAAATGTGTTTTTCAAGGGAGAAAGACGCTAAATTTTTCCATACTAATTTATGGTCACGCAAGAAAAAAATATTAACCAAAATTTTGTTTCTAAAGAATTATTGAATTTTGATTTTTATCTCAAGATTATTTCTTATTACGCCAAACGTTATTTATTGGATATCCACATTTGAGTAAAAGCCCCGTTTTTTTTTTTTTTTTTTTTTTTGTAACCACTGTGGTTTCTGTTATGGTGACCTATCTATTAGGTTGGTGCAAAAATAATGACGTAATAATGTCGTTTTTGACGTTAAAAATACGTCAAAAAAACGACATTATTACGTCAGTATTTTTGCACCAACCTAATACATTAGAATGAACTCTTCCTCCTTCATAAATACTAACCTGCGAGACTTCCGAAGGCAGGCAGTCGGGACGCAGTGTAACCTGACAGATGGCAAGTCACTTCTATCTGCTGACTAATAACACTCTTGTTTTTGTATATATGTTCGGTTATTTCAATACACTTGTTCAGCCTCCCTTCTTCTTTCTGTGTCTTTCTTTCTGGCCCCTAAGAGGACACAACAGTTTCCTACAAATGAAGGCGCACGTTCATATCCTGCCGTTAACTTTATTAAGTCTCTCGAATATACAGGCCGGTAGATTTAATTCCCACTTTTAAAAAAAATTAACACAAAAACGATGTGTCTATTCAACCAAGTGCAACCACTAAAATAACATTTGGAATATATTATGCAGGGACTGATGTCAATATCAAGTGTTACAGTCTGTTTCATGCTTGAAAGCAATCTGCAGGCCACCTGTGTTGACATCAGTGTCCACACTCCTTATATTTACAAACTCTCTACCCGGATATTGACCACTTTTACTCCATAAATATAGTATAGTTTAAATCTATCTATTTATCTCTCTCTCTCTCTCATATATATATATATATATATATATATATATATATATATATATATATATATATATATATATAAGTACCTCCACTGATTCGGTATATGAAAGGTTAAAAATGAGAAAAGATTTCTTGAAGCTTTCATTTTAGCTTTAAATGAAAGCTAAAAGTTTTAAAATTTGCTATTTCCAGTAAACAAATACTCTGTGGTATATTTCAAACAGAAATTATATTGGTCGGAATCGATTTTTTTTTTTGTAAAATCGATCAAAACGTCCATTTTTGACAGATTGATAAGCAAAAGTTAATTCTCGGTTTTAAAAATCTTGCAAAATAAAATATATATTTCTGAAACATTTGAGGAAAATTAACTTAAATTTAAGGTCAAATTAATCTGATTTGAAACATTACTTAACTATAGGATAAAATTTTGTATGCAAAGCGTTTCTTAACTACGGGGTCTTGTTTTCTTGACATGTTAATCGATCTATTGACAGTCGATCTACAACCGAACGTGTTCATAGTTAAGTATGATGAAGCAGACGATAATTCTTTTCGTTGTAAAAGGGGACAACTCTTAAAACAATTGACCTTTTAATGCTAGATTTATTGGTTTGTACATCCATGCTTCAGAAATTCTGCACGTAATCACACATACAAAACAAATCGAAATTCTTTTAAAAATATTCGGGGTCGTCAGATTGAAATAAGCTTTACAATATATGATAAGTAAATATAGTTTTACTTAATAACAGTATTTCCTAAGAATTATCACATTGAAAATGGATTTAAAAAAATATAAAACTTTATGAATTATTCAATTTAAAATTGTAAATAAATAAAAACAATTTTTGTAAAAATTCATTTTTCGTCGAAAAATCTTTTTTTCAGACAATTTTTTCTTTAACATATATTATTCATAAAAGCAATTAAAAGCTTCTCTAATTAAAAGCTTCTCTAATTAAATAATCTCTTATTTTATTGCGTTTTTTCTTTTTCGATTCAGAACAGATTTTCAGTAAGACTGGATCCGATTTTGCAAAAAAATTCGGAGATTTAAAGTCTTCAAACAATTCTGCTTTTAACTAATATAGCGAGTAAAATTTATTTCGTTGAATTTCTCAGGTTTTCCTAAAATTAAGTAAGGGGCTGAAACACATGAAATTTTTTTTTTTTGCAAGATTTTTTAATAAAATAAATTTAAAAAATAATTTAAATCATTTGCGAATAAGTCCTGAAAATTTCATTAAAATACGGCAATTATATGATTTTTGCAATAATTTTCAAATATGTCTGTCGCAGCAAAAATATGAGGTCAAAATTTGCCATGTTAAAAGTTTGTACTCTCTCGCGATCACGAGACATAAAAATTGTGTAGTGATCACTTTATCACTAGAAATAAAAAAAAAACCTAATTTCCCATGATTCCCTAGTAAAAACGGAAAACGCCCCTGGCGAAAAAATTAGAATCTGGTGTCTTTTTCAACAGCCTCTCACCCCCCCGCCATATATATATATATATATATATATATATATATATATATATATATATATATATAATGCAAGACTCTTCGTTAACACGAATCGAGTTCCCCAGTCATTGTTTATCTAAAATAAATATGTCGAAATTCACTTTCATCCCTGCCATACGCCAATTGTTTGGGGGGTAGAGCCTTTGACTGATACCAAATCGGATTTGGGTCCTGAGTTGAGGCAATCGGATGTCTATCACACGAACTGCGAAATAGTCAGTTTGTGGATATATATATATATATATATATATATATATATATATATATATATATATATATATATATATATATATATATATATATATATATATATATATATATATATATATATATATATATATATATATATATATATATATATATGTGTGTGTGTGTGTGTGTGTGTGTGTGTGTGTGTGTGTGTGGAAATATAGAGAAAATAGAAAAGAACTCGTTCGGTAAATAATCCAAAGTTCTTTAGTATTTTTGTTATTATTTTTAAAAAACAGTGCTCGATACAAAAGTAGAGCCTAAGTATAATTTTTGGGGAATTTGGATTCAAAAAAAATTTCGCTTCAAGATGGAACAGAGCTTGGTACTTTAATTCAATTTAATTCAAATAATTATATTGAAGTTTTCAGCTCTTGTTTTGAAACATGAGAACTCTTATGTAGTGATGGAATCATATTTTTGAATAAATAGTATATATATATATATATATATATATATATATATATATATATATATATATATATATATATATATAGTATTTTTGATCTCTTTGAACTGGAATCTTTAACAGTTCAAGGAAAAATAATCTTCATCCATAAAAACATTATATCTAATAAGTCTTTTTGTTCTTTTACGTGAACGGGGAATTAAGTTAAGGTATCGTTTCTGTTTTCAACCACCAGCAACATCTCCCGCCATTTTCTGTCCTATATTTCTTTTTAGCGGGAATCGTTAAAAGCAGCAACGTAGTTGTTAATTATTACATATTTATAGTTAATTGATCATCGTGAAATAACAGTAAAACTATAGTGTATGATCAATCAGAAAAAAATAATGGAAAAAACATTACAAATATATATACTTTCTTTCCTCGGTTGCGTACGTTTGGTTTTTATCCTTAATGAAAAGAGTGACTAGTTGAAGATATAGAATATAGTCTTTAATGTTCATTCAGTTAAGAAAGAAAGAATATATGGATGTATGTAATTTAGTTTTTAGCATCCCGCTACCGCTTTTTTTATCAACATCAATTTTTGTAGAAAAAATGGATCATAGAGCTTATTCAGCTGAATAAATATTTTCAGAAAACCTCAACTTCTAATTGGTCACTTAATATTTAAATCATGCCCGAATATCAATATCAATCTATCAAGCTTCTGTGAGCCTATCACGTAACCAAAGTTAGCAATAAAATATGAAACGTCTTTCATCTTTGACAGTGTGCCGATCGGAATCCTTTGAACTCGTCACACAGTTCCAGGCTTTACGCTAAAGTTCCTTGACATCATTCCAGCCTGATAGAACACTCATTCACACAGCAATATTTTATGACGAACAATCAACTCAAGTTTTCCACATTCAACTTAACACTTTTTCATACGCTTTCAAGCTCAACGTTAATTATTGCAATTAACATAAACACAACTTGTTAAGAACCACTTACCCCAAGTAGAATAGTCTCTTCGAACAAGTGAAAACAAATCAAAGAGCGACAATTCTGTAAATCTTAAAGTAAGTCGTAAACAATATTTCTCTATTTCAAATACAAACTTGAACTGTTTATTTTTTTTCTTGAATTACTATAATACCAAAATGCAATTTCTCATTTTTGTACAGACCATTCAACAAATTATAATCTATCAAACCAGAACTTTGATAACTTTTCATCTAAACATAAAAGAACGTTTGAACTTTTAAAACTACCTTTTTACTCCAGTTGTTTTGTACCTCTTTGTTATATAAATATTTTATTCATTGTTATGCAAAAACTGTTGTTTCTGATATTGTCCTAATTCTATGTTTGTTGAATACTAAAATTTAATGTGGGAGGAAATTGTCAATTTCATTACGCAGCCTAATTTACTCAACAATTTTTTTATCAAAATAATTCAATCCATTAACACTACCTCCACAAGTTTAATCTAAATAGTATATTGATTGATTTGATTTGTTTGTTTAACGGCATATCAACTCCTTATGGGTCATATAATGCCGAAATTTAATTTTCTTGAGGCACTGAAGGAATAAAAATATGATATATGTTGTTTCGCTTTCATTATATGGTAGATGATACACCAGCTTCGATGCATATACATGTTTGTGTGGACATGATTACTAGAGACAGTGATATTTGTGTTTTATGTTGTAGCTTTGTTGAAGATATATTTTGGAATACAGTTTGATTTCTCTAAGAAATTGTAGGATATTATATTGACTAATGTCATCAAAGAGTTCTTTCATGTTGGTTGGTTGTTTTATTTTGTTTAGTGTTATATCAAATTCTATGGGTTGTTAAATGCCAAAATCTAAATAATTTACAGTTGTATGCCTTCAACTAAATATTTTGAATACAGTTGTGTATTTTGCAACTAATTTATCTAAAAATCAGTTGTAACATCCATTTATGAACGTGCTAAGTAGATTATGAATTGTTTTCCTCTGTCCCATTCAATCTGTCTTGTGAGTATCAAATTCTCCAAGCCCTCTCCCCTCGTTATACGCCCTAGGAATTTCAGCTGATTCTTTCTGGTGTTAAATATAAGCGTCCTTTTTTGTTTCCAGTTTTTCTAAAACTTCGTTGTTACCCACAGTCTGTGATATTCTCAGCATCTTTAGAAACACATTTTTTGTAGTTTTAAGTCTCTTCATCATCTGCGATGGAGATTTCCCAGAAATCACTGCGATATAGAAGGACTGATATGACGTCACAGTTCACTACTCTATTCTTTGTTGCTAACGAAATTGTCCTGTTTCTTATTGACTTACATAATAAAATCTGAAATTTCGAACCATGAGAATTTTAAAATTGTTAAAATTTCACTGCTAACATTTTATTTTGATTTTCAATAAAGTTTAAATGGCAACTTCATTTATTGTTAATGTCGGGGGAGATGTAGAATAAGTGTCCCGCTCTGTTTGGAAGTGTCTGTAAACATTAACAGGAGTTAACCGAAGCCTTGTGAGTGAAATCGGTTCGTCGGAACTGTTCGAAAGGCGTTGATGGTTGTGCTAGTGCAGATGTTTGGTGATCGTGACCGATTGTTTTGACCGTACTATTTCTTTCAGTATCTGTCTTTATTTTGAGATGAGGATTATTAAATATTATTATTTACATTATTCGGACTATTGTCCTAAATCATCGTTTTGTCCCCATATTTATTACAACGTTTCGGCTCTTCAGTATCTGTGAATTCTCAGCATCTTTAGAAACACATTTTTATAAATCATTATTTCATTTGAGATGCGTAACAGTATTATGTACAGTCCTATTTACATTTGGACTTTTGTTTCCTCGTTCGAACATTATTTGCCCATAGTGACAATCCTGATAAGTTTCGGCCGTTGTACGGTAACCCGGCCTTCTTCAGGTGGTTGGAATGAAGATCTGGTCTTTATTTGATGAGGTATTATGTATTAATTATTTTACATTATTCGACATTGTTTCATCTTTGTCCCCATATTTGCTTAAATCCGGTCATTTTGTCCAATTTCTGAGATGTTTTGTTCATGTAATAAATATGGCGACAAAAGCCATATCACAGATAGTCCGAGTAATGTAAAGGGTGGCAAATGACTTTGCTCAAAAAAATTGGGACAAGGTTGATCACATAGCAAAGATTATAGCGCTCTCTCCCAGAAACTGTTGAACAGAGGTTCAAAGGATGTAACAGTATAAACCAAAGCTGGCATCTGTGAGGGTTAAACAAATTCCCGAGTCGGCCTCTACAACAGACATTAAATAGTCATCAGATCAGACGGGCAAATACGGCAGCGAGCAGCCAGCTTTTACTTGTATGTGTATGTCAGAGTTTGGCCATTAATATTTATTTATTCAATATTTATTTCTATCTACCGTTTAATACCAGTTTTTTCATATCGGATTCATTCTGGCCATTATCTATATCTATCTATCTATCTATCTATCTATCTATCTATCTATCTATCTATCAGTTCAATTATGTCTGTTGATATCTATCTATCTCTCTCTCTATCTCATTCATTATGTCTGTTAATATTCATTCATATATTATCTATCTATCTATCTATCTATCTATCTATCTATCTATCTATTCAATTATCTCTGTTAATATTTAAAATTATATCTATCTGTTCAATTATGCCTGTTAATATCTAAAATTCTATCTATCTATCCATCTATCTATCTATCTATCACGGTCTGTTCATATCTATCGATCTATCTCAGTCTGTTCATCTATCTATCTCATCTTTCAATCTATCTATTCAATTATCGGTCTGTGAATATATTAAAATTTGTTTATATCTATCTATCTATCTATCTATGTTGTTTATACCTGTTAATATCTAAAATTATATCTATCTATCTATTCAATTAGTCTGTGAATATTTAAAATCTATCTATCTATCTATCTCTGTTCATATCTATCTATCTTTCTATCTATATATGTCAGTCTGTTCAAATCTATCTATCTATCTATCTATCTATCTATCTATCTATCTCTGTTCATATCTATCTATCTTTCTATCTATATATCTCAGTCTGCTCAAATCTATCTATCTATCTATGTGCAGTAAATATGTTGGGCGTCTTTTTCTGTTTCTTTTTTTTATTAATTCCATTTTCTCCAAGAATCCAAAAGAAAACATGGTTTTACTGGTAAGCATTCCTCTAGATATTTGATTGCAACGGGAACTTCCTCTGGGTGCTAAGCAACCGGAAGTGAATGATTCATTGTCGAAGTTTTCATGAAAGATGCGTTCAGGCGGAATATCATTCTGCGAAATCACGCAAGAAGAATCGAATTGTTTCGCCGAAGAAAGAGAAACCCATCTCAAAGATTCTGATGATGAATGAAGATGAATCTAAAGGAACACAGAAAATCGAAGATAATAGCAGATATGAAATATGACATTTATACGTCGAGAAGATGTTCTAAGACGCTCAGCAAATAGTACCAAAACTACACCATCACTTTTTTTGTTGTTGTTTTTAACCGTTGTTTCATACCTTTTTTTGTTGTTGTTGTTTTTTAATCGATATCGAATCAAGACAAACCATATCAGTAAAGGTATACTAAACACACATCTTGTTAGAACGAAGTTGTGTGGAAGAATTAGTAACAGAAACATAACTGACGCTCTGGAGCGGAAGAGGAAAAGTATAGAAGGATGAGGGAACAGTAGAAGGCGATTGACATTGCATTTAAATTTTTGCAGATTAAAGTTGGCTGGAAAGCATGGGGAAAGAAAGAGGTTCAACAAGCGAGAAGTGCGAGAAAAGAAATTGTTAGCATAGTACTTACAGTACTGCGCTTAAATGCAGTAAGCCTAGGTACCATAGCGATGAGCTCATCCGGACAATCCGGAGAGGTAACCTTACAGCGATGGGAAATGCCTAAAGCCGAGCCGCTAGATCAGGACCAATAATATTGCTGATTATTCTTTGGATTTTATCAAGGAGCTCAAGGTAAATAGCAGGAGCACCTGACCATATATGGCAGTAATATTCTAAGCATTCTTAAAATGGTAGACGTATAGTATATATAAGATAGATTCCGGAGAGAGAAAAAAATGATAAATTTATAATAAATTAGTCACACGAGGTTAACAACAATAAAATAATAATAAAACAATTACGTATAACAACTTAGTGTAATAAAATTTATGCGACAGATACAGTGTCTGATTATTACTCCAGTTGGTTTTGCCAAAAACGTCCGTTAGAGTGCGCTCTTTAAGACTATAAAAAGGCAAGCATATTCTCTCTCTTTCTCTTTTTAACTCTTGATTCCAGATATAGTCGAACATAGATAAAGAAAGCTGCCGACGGGGCACATTCGCTTCCTTGGTCCTCTTTTCATTTATGAAATCTCTCACTCACGCACATACACACACGTGTCTATCACACAGGCACAAACAAGCACATTCTTATAGCTAGTTTTAATGTTTTTCGTTTCATTACAATTGTGGACACATTCAAATAGTTATTGTTAATACATGTATTAATTGTCATTTGTTTTAAATTCATTATTTTTTGTCTGTTTGTTTTTTTGTGTTTTTTTTTTTACCCGGACTCACATGAGTCTGCCAATATTGTTTGCGGGACAAATGTTCTAGGAGCCCATAAATATTTATTATACAACGTACACACACTCATATCAAAAGTGTAAAATCCCATAAGAAAACGATGACTTACTTATACCCTTAATATCATAAAATCACGCATCGACCTTTTCGTGCCTCTAGGCTAATGAAATTATACCCTCCTCCCTCAGACGTAACCAACCTCTAACTTGCCCGCAACTCTCTTGAATATTGTCTGTCAATAAAAATATTCTTTAAGAAATACCATTATTTTACTATTTATTGTAAATCAAATTAGCACATATTTTGTCAGAACCATTCCGAAAAATAAATTTTTATAATATATTTCTATTTATGAAATTATAGCAATAAAAATAATGAGTTTCTCATAATGATAGTTATTTCATTTTTAAAAACAATTTGAAACATTATTTCCTAAGTCAAAGCATCTAGAAAATGGAAATGATTTGCTTATAATATAAAAAAATGTTTAAGAATTAAACATTTTGAACTAAAATCAAACATGTTATCTACTTGAAACACAATGACCCAAACTAAAACAATTTAAAACATTCTTTTGCTTTACTTCCTAGAAAGTCAAAAAAATTTGCTTTAGGTTTAAATATAGGTTTCATATAGATATCATTTCAGTTTATTTATGAATACTATTTAAAATTTAAACATTGTTATAATGTTATCTAGAAAATAAAATCATTCAGTTTATGTTTTATAAAATTTCTAAGATTTAAACATTGTGAACTAAAATCAAACATGTTATCTACTTGAAACACAATGACACAAACTAAAACATTCTTTTCCTTGCTTTCCTTCCTACAAAGTCAAATAAATATGAGTTTGTCATATAGATATCATTTCAGTTTATGAAACAATTTAAAAGCTATAATATCTAGAAAATTAAAATTACTGCTTTATAAAATCTTGAGGGGTCCGTACGGTACAGCCAACGCAGGATTTAGAACAAATGATGCCCCGTGCTAGTTAAATTATGAGGCCCCTTACTTGGGCCCTGAAGGAGGTAGGTCCGGCATGCCTTCACAAACATGGATGGAAAATGCCCGCGGGGGCTAACGAGGCCCTGTGCTTAAGCCACACCGAAGCGCAATGGCAATTCCGGCACTGGCTGCAGACAATACCAGTTGTTGTGATATTATGCTAATACCTTCACCGCAACTTTATTATCACATATGAACTTCCTTTTGCCTCCTACTAACCCCTCCCCCTTTCCTAATCTCTTATTAATTCCTCCCTGTCACCCTTTCCTCTACCCACTTCCTGTAAAAGCGACTGGAGATAAATAAAGGATTCGCGTTAACCATTCGACTGTCTTGTCCTTAATCCGCTGTAATCGGTGATGTAGATAACTTAACACTAACCTAAAGGATAATCCGACTCTGGATAGATTAAAGGAAGTTTTTTTATTTGGTAAAAAAAAAAACTTTACGAAAAAAATAGTTCAAACAAATGTTTGAGATAACATTTAATTTATACAGGGTGTCCATAAAGTTCGTATGCACTTTAAAAAATTTATAACTTTATTTGTATTTGCGATAGAAATAATTTGTAAAAAATGTTATAAAGCTTAATGTACCTAGTTTTAAGTATAGCTAAAATAACTAATGTGATTTCGGCCATTACTGTAAATCAGTTGGCAAATGTTTTCCGTGAACTGCAAAATCATATTACCCTTTGTATTGCTCAAGATGGAGGACATGTGGAAACTTAAATAAAATTTCAATAAGACCTTAAAAAATATAGATTTACTTCTTTCTAATCAAAACAAGTGTAAGTAAGTGGTTAAAGAAATAACAAAACAAGTGTTACAGATATATCATATATTAAACAACTGAAGAGTATTACACGACAAGTGAACGTGTTTCGGTTGACCCAGCGTTCAATCTATTCGACTGTTAATATTAAACAGCCCTCCCCCCACGAGGGATGTATGTGGCACAAGGCCGAGTTTGCCGTGGGTTCTCCGAGCCCGTAGGCTCGACCAAAAATATTCCCTTATAAACAACGGGTTCAGGGTCTGTCTACCTCCCCGGACGAGGCTTTGCCGATGGGCAAAGTTTCGTCCGGGTTCCTCTCTGCTCAAGGCAGAGAGGTCGACAGTTGAACAATCTGGTCGACTGTTAATATTAAACAGCCCCCCCCACCAACGAGGGATGTATGTGGCACAAGGCCAAGTTTACCATGGGTTCTCCGAGCCCGTAGGCTCGGCCAAAAATATTCCCTTAGAACCCGTATAAACGTGTTCAGGGCCTGTCTACCTCCCCGGATGAAACTTTGCCCTTCGGCAAAGCCTCGTCCGGGTTCCTCTCTGTTCGAAGCAGAGAGTTTGACAGATGAACAATCTGGTCGACTGTTCCTCCAAGGCCTTCTCTCCTACTAATCTTATAGTAAGCGGAAGAGTCCAACGTAGACTCTTTAGAGGGAGAACACCCCAACAATTATGTATATTGTTAAGAAATAAGACCAGGCTTTTAATACATTATTTTATTTCTTTTGTTTCGTCTTATATCTGTTTAGGGTGAGCGGCGAAGAATAATCAAAGCAGAAATTATTAAAGAGATAACAACCCAACCCAAATTTTCCCCTCCTGACCATGTGTGCAACGCCTGGCAATAATTATGGAATCTCTGCCCAGAGGACGTTCATCCAGAATTTTCATTCACAGCAGAAAAATGGATCTCAGATCTGAAGACATAACTGAACGTTCTGGTTTTGTGAAACATGCCTCAAGCAAATAATTGAACATTCTGGTTTCGTGAAACATGCTTCAAACACATAATCTATTCTAGACTATAAATATCTAGACACTTTATCTAGGCTATAAATAGACTAGATAAAGCGGTTTCAATCGTTCTGCTAGTTTCCAAACAATTTTAATGAATCAAGTATAAACTGTTAAAAATGTATATGTAAGTGAGATCAATTCAGATCTTTTAACTGCTAATTACAAAGATGGTTTCTTAACTTTTTAATAAGGAAATGTAGTAAGCAAGAAAGAATGCTTGACCAATCTACACTCCTTTCTATCAAATATAGTAGCATATGCAATGATGATAATTTAATTGTAATTAATAAGTATAATTTAAACTAATTAATTAAACTAAGTAATTATAAAATAAACTATTTCAGTAAGATGTGACTTGATACGAAGCGGGGACCTCCAAAGGAAGAAAATGAACAGAATATTTTAAATATAATGGAATACTGTTTAACTATATACAGTCCTAAAAATGTTGTAAAGCGTGTCTTTGTCTACATTTTTACACTAGCATAAAGCGGGTCTATGTTCACATATTTACGTCAGTATGGAACGGGCCGATGCATATATCTTTGACACTATAATCTATGATGCCTATATCTTTGACACTATAATTTATGATGCCTATATCTTTGACACTATAATTTATGATGCCTATATCTTTGACACTATGATCTATGATGCATATATCTTTGACACTATGATTTATGATGTCTATATCTTTGACACTATGATCTATGATGTATATATCTTTGACACTATGATCTATGATGCATATATCTTTGACACTATAATCTACGATGTCT